CAAGATGCCTTCCTCGGAGACATTGTGCACATCAGAGCAGTGACGCTGCGTTACTCTAGATGCCGGGGCAGGTAGGGGTGTTATTCAGTTCTCAGCATTCTCAACGGTGACTAAGCCATCACCACTGGACCCTGTGTGAGAGCCACTGGTCAGTGTTGGGGCCGTCAATTAATCCAAGCTGCACAGGGCACTGAAGTTCTGGTTGGTGGGGCTTAGTCTGAATAGTGCATCCATTCACTGTCACCTCTTCTAGGGACTAGTCCTGTGCACGGACACAGTGGGAAGGATAGAGAAGAGTTTTAAGGTACTTTAAAAGCATGGCAATAGCCACTTGTGCCTGTCTCTTTAGGTATGCTGATGGCGATAGGTTACCTTAGATCCCTCTTGATGGGCCCTGGGGATGGTGAGATGGGCTTCCCCTTATTATCTTACCGTTCACCCCGGGAGTGTGCTGGGTTCTTGACTAGGAGACATGATCACTGTCCTGAGGAGCTTGTTAACTCATTTCAGCCATGACATGATGAGGGGGCTAACATGAGAACCAGAAGGGGCAGCGGTGAGTCATGGAGTCATATTACATTGCTTGGTTATCGTCAAGCGAGATGCTGCTATTGCTTTCATGGCAGGTCTCATTGCTAGTGTAAACCACTGGTGAGTGTGTGTATGTGTTGACTGCTATGCCTGACCTGATCTGCAGAGGATACATCTGTTACAACCCCAGCTATAGGTCCTTAGCTCAAGCTGTAGCAGCTTATGCTTTTCTAGTTCTGGAGGTCCCCAGTTCAATCTCTGGTGGGGATGGTCTTTTAGCCTCCATACACATTCATTTTGGGGTTTCTCTGCTGAGTAGACTAGCAAGAACATTGGGTGACGTGGATATTTGACCCCTAAGAACTGGACTAGTATCACCAACTGATTTGTCATTCACAGGCAACCAGCCATCAGATAGTAGCAATTTTTGGTTGCTGGTGCCTTTGAAGACATGATTTAGAGGTCAAAGACTCTGTATCTCCATTACTAATTCATTTCTGCCTGCAAATATCCAG